AGATAGATAGATAGATAGATAGATAGATAGATAGATAGATAGATAGATAGATAGACAGAGGAAACGAGAGAGATACAAAGATAAAAAAGAGAATCAAGAGAGAGGGAGGGGGGGTGAGAGAAAGAGAGAGAGGGGGAGAGAAAGTGTGTGCGTGTGTATGTGTATGTGTTTGTGTATTTGTGTGCGTGTGTGTGTGTGCGTGTGTGTGTGTGTGTGTGTGTGGGTGTGTGTATCAGAGACAGAGAAAGAAAAAGAGAGAGACAGACAGAGAGAGAGTGAGACAGAGAGACAGAGAGAAACGGGGAGAGAAAGGAAGAAAGAGAACGCCTTACCACAGAAAAGAATCAAAGAGCAAGGCGTCGTCACATTGTAAAGTCACACGTTACATTATTATACGCCTGTGCAACGAAAATAACCCTATGTTTACATTTACAGACAACATTTAAAAAGAATGAATGCAACGGAACCCTGCTCCACAGAAAAAAATGGCAGCAGTTCTTTGCACTGAGACAAAAGACAAGACCGGCATTCAACTAACTACAAGATTACCACGGATAATGACGAGTTGTCTTCCGTGGTCCCTTCTGCTCCTGAGACCTGTTCTCGTGTGTCATGGTGCCATACCGAAAACGAAATTAATGTATGCTTAGAACAGACGTACTAGTCCTCTTGAGTGAATTTGTGTGTAGCTTCGTAGACGAAGCTGACTGTGATTACAGATATATATGTGAGGCAGCGTGGTGGAATCAGGCTCTCATCAATGTTTGGGCATGTAGAGTTATTTTATCATCTTAAAGCTTGTTCAGTTGTCTTCATTTGGATTTAAAAAATATCAATTTATCTTGAATACAAGTCGAGATATTTGCGAATGAAGGAGATGGGGGTCACTTTTTCTCATAAGTAAAATTAGTGAGAAAATGGCTGCCAAAGATTACTTATTTCCTTAGCTTTAGAGTCCGTGGTAACTGGAAATTTACATTTTTTAAATGCCTTTAATCAACTTTTTTCAGAAAAATTCACACAGATATGAGTTCTTTAAAAGACAAGAAAGGTGTTGTGTCCAAAAAAAAAATTGATGAAAATTCTCAAACCTGTGGAAAAATGCAAGTTTCTTCACTTTGATTATTTTGACGAGAGCCTGATTCCACCACGCTGCCTCACATATCTATACGAGTTTGCACATGATTTGTTCTTTCTAACAATGATTATGCGTACGATAATGACAGAGTTGTTCCATGTAGTTAGTGGAAGTATCACACGCTTGAGAGGAACGTCAACTCATATAAATTATTGTATTGTTCAACCATTGCAATGTTTGTTCCATCAGTATTATCCTGTGCCCTTTGCTTTAGGCTACATTCAATAAGGGCTCGCCGTTTTAACTCAATGGATATCATGCTGGGCTAAGGTGCGGATTACCTTGGTTTGAATCCCCAGTTGACCGTTCTCGAACGTGAATAGTTTGGAAGGTTTCCAACCCTCTCTGCCTACATGTCTCCATCTTAGCGGAGATGGACGTTGAAGTCGGAGATCCTTCCTCACAACTTCACAGCATTAATTAAAAGGGGAGTATAACGCATGGAGTGCTACAGTTAATAAGTTCCTGCTATGAAACCAATCAAAACAACCACTAAAATACACTGAGATATTTATTATCTTCTTTTATGAATGACTTTATTCTGGTGCACCAATTTCGTGCAGGTGGCAGACGAGCAGTTTACTTTTCTAACAAAACTGCTGAACTGCTATCTATCACCTTCCGGAGAGACTGAAGAACAGAGTACATGAAGACATAATCATCGTTGGCCACACTACCTTAGAATTGCAAAGTTCTATCTGACATTTTTTGGCCGTTTTGAGTTATTAAGACCAGGGGTCTGGAAAACCTAATGTTGTATCTGCTCTATCAAAATCATAAAAGTAATCCGAGTCTTTATCAAGATATTCAAATAATCACATTCCCAAAAAGCTTGACCTGTTGTGAAACTAAAATTTTGAAGTCAATTTTCTCAAAACCAGGTAACGAACAGATAGACCTTTGTGATTCAAGTGAAGAGCAGCTGTTGAATTGTGCCACGCCCAAAGTTATGGGGTATAATCAAAGCTATCGCAGTTTCTAAATAATGTGGTAGCAGTTGCTTGAAGTCGGTCGATATGTCGAAAAAATGCTGGAAAAGAAGTATAAAATATTAAAAGAATGAAACAAGGTTTTTTTTCTCTTTCCTGAAAAAATGTTGCTTTCTGTGCCTAGTACATTGGAACAGCTTGCCAGCACCATGTTTCTGAGGTGTGTCAATTCTTATAAGACTACAATTAAATTAACCTGAAACATCCGAAAGATAGTTCAGATCTACAAGAATGAGTGGATATTTCGTTCTGAAAGTTAACTGTAAGATAATTACCGGGTGTACGTAATCAGATTTGACCCAAAGGGGCTCTAATTTGAACGTGTTTGAGATCCTGTCGTTACGTCCGACTTGTTATAAACTTTGAATTTGTTTCTGTTGTTGTATATTATGTCATTATATAAGCTTACGTTAAATAATCCAACTGTGATAAAATATTCTTTTCTTGTCTTTTATCTTACAGAGCCGTTTCAATCATAGGCTACTTTACAGATGCAAGATGTTTTAAATATACGTACTTATTTAGTCCATTATTTATACATTTCGATATTGTTTTGTTTTGTTTTTTGTTTTTCAGAAGGACAAACTATCGTTGTTGAATTTTATGCGGCATATTATAATAAAAGATTTTAACAAATAAAAGGAATGTTATGACAGATGTTGTGTGAACCGCTTTTAATTCATCTCAGGATACAGTCTTCACAAAAAGTTATGGACCACTTGCAAAAAGTGCACCCAAAATAAAAAACCAGACAATCAAATTACTCCTACTTTAATATACTTTTAAGTCATCAAGCCATAAGTGCAATAAAGAAATGCCATCACAATCAAAACCAAAATGCGTAATTTCCAGCTCTCAAAATGGACCCACCCTCAAAATCGAAAGTCACTAAAGAAGGGGTCTTAAAAAGTCTCAGAAATATAAAATTAAAACGACCAGTTTAAGTTCGTGAATGTCAATCGAATTGTTAGAAGCGCGTTTATCCACCATTTACGACAAGGAGGCCAAAACACCGCTGGCGCTTGAGTTGATCCGGCGTGCCAGAAAGGACTGGGGAATGTTGTTTCATTCTTGTTGCAGCCATTCAAGCAGCTGCTGTCTGTAGTCGGGCAAAGGGTGGTTCTTCCGAACTCTCCGACCAACCTCAGCCCACAACAGATACCAACAGGGGGCGAGTATACGATCAGCTTCCCCGACAGGTAACTTATTTTATGACCGGAGGGAGGGGGGGGGCGCAAATTCCCCCTCAACCCTGTGCGGCGTGGCGATGTCGTCCTGAAGGATAGCAGCAGGCCCAATCTGCTGCTGTGCCAGGACAACAGATCGAAGGATCTCCTTCCTGCAGATACCGCTGCCCTGTCAGGATACCGTCGACATGGTAAAGGGGGGGGGGGGTCGTGTGCTGCCTGCTGATTCTCCCCCAAACCATAATGGAGCCGCCTCCAAACGGGACCACTTCTTGAACTGCATTGGCAGCAACCTGCTCCCGTGGACGCCTCCAGATGCGGGTTCCAGCATCACTGGGTGCCAGACAGAACAGAGATTCATCAGTGAACAAGACCTCTGTCCACTGGGCACGTGTCCACCCCTGGTGCGCAGTGCACCAGATTGTCGCTGGTTCTGGGTCGAATTAGGTTTTCTGACTGGATGACGCGCACGAAGGTTGACGTCATGAAAGCAATTACGTATTATGATTTACTATTTTGAGGTTGGGTCGCTTTGGAACTCTCTAGCATCAGCGTTTGTCGCGGCCGCGATTTTTGCATTTGTCTAGCAAAAAAACCACCGCCGGGGGAGAAAAAATTTGAAAACAACAACAACAGCAACAAAAACGGGGAATGATATTCGTGGAAAAAAAACCCGAACCTCCTCACTTTTAGAAAGAAAGTCTATTTTCACTTTTGCTTCACTTCGTCTCTTTCTCACCTTGTTGACACCACGTTGATTTGTAATTTCCATTTGAAGAAAATAAGCAGGGTACATTACATACTATATATATATTACTGTTTCTTTTTCATGTTTCCCTCTTTGTTGTGTTTTTATTTGTTGGTGTGTTGTTGTTTTTTCTCTCGTTATTGTACTGATGTGTTGCTTTTCCATTTGTTCGTGATTATACAGCGTAAAGTTGTGCCTACCTTTATATGTGTTATGTTAGAGCATGTCTCCACCAAAATAGAATACTGACACTGGCAGGCCATCTGTGTGTGATTCCATGATCTACATGTTAGATCCAGTACATTTTCATGAATTACACGCGTTTAGGGTTAAAACGGCCAGTCTATGGATGGGTTTACATACGCCCTTATTTGTTAATTTTTGTGTGGTTGCTTATTTGCTGTTCTAATTTTGATTTCATTCTGTTGTGAAACCTTTAGTTTTCACGTTTTTACACTCTGTGTGACTACAAATGATATTTTGGATTCCTAAAACAGAGCACAGGAAATTCTGGTGTTTTAGATTAA